CTCATATATGATGGCGTTTGCGATGAATTGACTAAGCAGACAGAAAATGAACATGAAATAAATGAGATTGGTGGTGGGCAATCTCGAATGATCTTCCGTTACGGTCAGGTGCACACTTACATGGGACGCGATCGATTTCGGTTGACCCACGAGTCGCGCTTGTTCCACGGCCACAATTCATCGAATTCCTCCATTTTTTTTTCTAGATCCCCATGAGAGTATGTCCTGGGGACCCCTCTCAAAAATATGTAATACCAGAAGGCTCCGACGTGAGGATATGGCGAGTTTCTGAGTGGCATACTTCAGATTGGCGCCATGGTTCCAGAGTGAAGGTAAGATTGGATTTTACGGTCCAGATACTTTTACTTATCTCATAGGACGTCAGCTCCACCATCACCAATATTTTCTGGGTGGTTTGAATTGGGTTTGAATCTTTCAAAGTTCAAAAGATGGAACACAAAAATAGTGGGAATTTTGGCCGAACTTGGTCAAACTGTGAACAAACAAACTGTATTCTGTTCAAATTCCCAACTTCTGAGTGAAAATGACATCATCAACCCACTTTCGATGTGGACTGCTTGAGTAATCACCGAAAGAAATTGTACTTTACCCATGACATTGAGTGAGTTTTCACTCGCCTTCTCAAGTTGTTCATCAAGTCAAGATACTTTATCGAGTTGATTGTACAGATGTGATGGTTTCTACACGTTCCAGAGCGGCCAGCAGCGCCGCCAACCGATCAGCCTTAACTTTCATCTTTGATTTCATCGGGATTGTATCCTTGTCTCCGCGCCGTCGGTGAAGTTCGAGTTAATCCTTCAACTTGAGGTCGGTCATCTGGGAAATTTCTGTGCGGTCGGTCACGATGCCGATTGCAGCTAAACGCTCGGTCTCCTTTTGAAATTTCTGGGCCGTCTCGGCATCCTTGGCCAATCGGTTGTCCACAACTTCCTGTCTGTGTGCGGTGAGCTCCAGCTGTCTGGCCTTTTTGACACCGCTCTCATCTATACGCCGAGCTTCTTGGCGCAGAAACACATGATCCTCTTCCGTATCCATGTGCGTGTCCATGAAATTTTGAGTATTGTTCCGGTGAAACATCGCCTCGTCGGTGAAGTGGCCAATGGTCGTGCTCGGGCTTTCACGAGAGAAGCGATGCCACATTCCCAGGAGGCCTTCATTGGCATCGTTGGTCGAAGGTATATTGCCAGCCGCTCGCTCCGCAGCCGTAGATTGGTCGATCAAACCACCGTCGTCGAATTCAGTTGTAAACTTCTCGAAGCGCTCTAGGGCACGTTTCAGGCCAGCCACAGTGAGAGGCGCTACGTCTGGGAGCGATGGAATAAGTCTTATACACGCTGCCCAGGCTTTTGGATTGCTCCATGGTTGTCCGTCGAGGGTAGCAGATTTGTACGAGTCGACAGAGGGTGAAGTTAGGGTGGAAACATTATCGATGAGCTTCTTCATGTGAACTTTGACCGAGCTCCAAAATATTGAGCTGCTCGGTGCCGGACCCACGAAGACTCTCTTGGCGCCGACATCCGTGATAGGCTGCTCCGAACCACAGAATCACCTCCTCCGGAAATAATCAGAAATGAACTTCTACTAGCACTTCAAATCCTCCTGCAGGGCCTAGGTAAATCAGTCGCTGAAATTGGACTTCCAGAGCCAACCACTGCACTCAGCGGCCAACTAGCCCAAATGGGCATAGCCAGCCCATGACCTAGCCAGACGCATAGCGGCAGCTAGCCTCAGCTAGCAGCAGCTAGCCATCAGCTAGCATCAGCTAGCCGTCGGCTAACCGCACCTAGCAACTAACGCCTAGCCATCAGCTCGCAGAAGCTACCGGCCATGTGGCGAGGCGGCCCTGGCTAGCCGTGTAGCCAGATATAGCTGAAGCATAGCCACAGCTAGACACCGGCTAGCAGAAGCTAGCCGAGGCGTCGGCTATTACGCCGCTGAATGCAGTGAACGGAACGTGAACAAGAGGTTTATGCTGAACGTCTATGCTGGGGTGGAGACCCAACTAACCTGTGTGCTTTCAAAGACGGCCTTACACCTGAACAGGTTGGCTTTGTATTTCATTGATTCTATTCTGCTAAAAAAAATTCTGGCAGCTTACAATCTATAATCGAATCATGTATCTGACCTCCATCCAAAATCCGCCCCCAGTCTATGTCGATGGACGAGCCGGCCGGGGGAAGACATATGTTCTATACCCAGTAATTGTCGCTCTGCGAAAACAAGGTCAAAGCATCCTCCTGTCTACCTCCTCAGCCTTCGCCGCAAAGAATTACCCGGGTGGACGAACATCACATTACCTGTATGATATTCCGGTGGACAAATATAACCCACATCTTCAATCAGCTGTTGGACCAAGAAGTGACCGGGCCAGACTTTTATTGGCTGCAAAATGCCATGTTATCGACGAGATTGGCGGCCTTCATTAAGGGGTTTGATTGCGCCGACCGCCCAATGCGATCTCTAACAGGATGTACCGACCGCGTATGGGGTGGCCGAATGCTGATAACCATCGGCGATTTTCGACAGACTTGTTGGTATCGTTATATTTGTTGAACAATGGAAAATCGGCACAAGAATTGACACAGCAGTGGTACCAGACAGGCTCAATCCGCGACAAGATGGCGATACGATGAAGCATGACCCACTCCGAGTTGAGACTGATCTTGTGCCGGAATGAGTACACCATTTGATTATGCGCGGGTCGCGGCATCCTCGATATCATCTTGAGCTTGAATGCTCCAATATGTCCTCCCCCACAGAAATCTTAACCATCAGCGGCCCACAGTGTGAAGTGTTTCCGAATTTTTCCCTACAATTCTCGCTCCGCAAGCATAATTTACTTTTTCGTGCACAAGTGTCGAGTCACAGTCCTTCTGAGTGAATGTGCCTGGCAGGATGCCCACAGAAAACTTAACCACCGACGGCCCCAAGTCTGAAATATTTTCTGAATTTTCGAAAGATGAGAGGACACAGACGAAACGAGCAGACGCACTCACTTCGGAAAGGTGAAAAAATGGGAGAGTCGGCCCAGTCGGGAGACAATATTGGCAAGCGGTTTCCTCCTGAATAATGGGTCAAAATGGGGGCAGGGAAATGTGGGAGAAATAGAGATTTGAGAAAGAAAGCCAAACAACGACAAACACCGGCCTCTTTGGCTTGAACTTTGGCTTGTAGACTGGTAACCAGTCTGCCGACGAGCAGTAAAAATGTGGCAAGCATTGTGCTGTAGGCAGACTGGCACTTCTCGGGTGGCCCAATTGGGCGTTTGGGCATGTCGACTCGGAGTCCGGCAAGTTGCAACACCAGCCAGGATCATCTCCAGGAGGCTGGCCGCAGTGCGTCATCCTGGACACAACAGGAGGCTAGCTAGTTCCCGACTTAGAATTGAAATCACAGGCGATTTTAGGGCCCGTTCGGCTGCAGATTCTGGCAGAATCTCAATGTTCAATTTGTGAGACAACCTTTGTTTAAAGGCATCAAATTAAAGTAAAAGTGCTTATATTAGCGTGCATGTACCGTAGGCCCATTATTTTGCCTGAGCTCATGCAGTTCAAGGCTGTTTGAGGTTCGAGAATTTGTGCAAATTACTAAATAAGGAAACAAAATCTGCCCAGAATCTGCAGCCGAACAGGCCCTTAGATTTGATACTGACTATAATAGTGGCTCGATGACCACGTCGATTACTACCGCGCGGTCGCCCCCCTCATCTTCACTGACCCGAACCTCGCCTTCGAACTCTCCCAGCAATGCTCCATCCGCACTCGAATCAACACGTCAATTGCCAAACGACTGGGTTTGGACATTTTTGAGTCAATTCGCGTCGGATGGTGCCAGAAAAAAGTATAGTTTGCCAACTATATCCCGAATGGTTCCTATATCGTTATGGGTAACATTTGAGCCCACTAGAAAATCAGTAGTCGATTTTTGATTGAATTGATGGTCCCGCCCAATTCCCTTATAAAAAAATCTTGCACATCGCAGTCACGTCTCGGCATGCAACGGCTCGTAAGTACACAGTTCGGGGATCTCGCGCCTCTGGAATCGAGTTGACGCGCTGGAATTGAAAGTGTTGGACAATGCAAAGAGGACATCACGCGTTTCAAAATGTAAAGAAATTCAATAAGGTCACGCCTTTCAAAATGTAATGCACTGATTGATTGGCCTTGCCTCCAAGCAGGATCTGAATAGCACAAAATGACCTGAATGATCAGGGTAATATATATACTAGGGGTGGGATTCTGAGCTCTCAGGTAATGATAAATACACTTGGCCCTTCGCAACTTTCTGCGAGTCTTCGCCTCTGGGCCCATCCACTCTCTCCGTTATCGGTCCAATGTAACATGAAAACCCGGTCCCAAAGCACTGTGAGGGGCAGAAGGTCGATGCGGCGAGAGGCAGAAACAGCTTCAGTCTCCAAATGGATACCGTCCGTGCCCCATTTGTTTTATTTTCTTCTCTGACATTCTGTACAGAAGCATCCCGATCACATGGCGCATGAAGCACGCTGTGCCTTCAACTCATAGATTTCCTTCGCCTGAACCCAACCCTGGGCATACTGTTCAGCGTACGTGGCCTGTATATTTATGGCTTCAACGACATCAGACTATCAGATCTGAAGTGAACAACTGCTACCCGTGGCTACAGCTCCATAACGGACATTCCCTGGTTAAATGGGGAGGTCAGTGAGTTTTACTATGGAAAGCCGGAGCCCCACGCTTTTAAGCGAGTGATTCGATCAATCGCTGAGCGATTGCCGGGATTGTGCCGTGAAAGTGGTTCAAATGAAACTTGTTCATTGTTAAAGGAGCTATGGAGGTAACATACTTGTTTCTCATAATCTTGTTGATTCCACCCCAAAATCTGTCTCCTTATCTTTTAATTCCTTTGCAGAAGCTAGAAATATCAGAGGGATGCCTTCCTAAGCAACTTTCATGAATAGCAGCAAAGGAACATGTCTTAAGCGGAACAGGGCTCATAGAACGTCGATGGTGTAGTTGAAGCACGTCTGAATCTACTACATAATCTTGTAGCGTCCATCAGTTGGCGTCAGTTCGAATCTGGCTCGAGGTTTTTTTCTTTTTCTTTTCTTTTTTGCAGCAGGAAATCAACTTTGGGCACCCCCAATACTGTAAAACCATATTAGTGTAATTAGCAACCGTTTAGAAGCAGATAATATCATCTCAATTGGATTGAATTCACAATGGAATTTTGGGAGAAAGATGCACTCATGTCTGGCCTCTGTGATCACAGTCTCAAGCATGGATGGTTGGTTAATGAAGCCTCGGAGTCAGAGTAATCACTGTCAGAGGAGCTGTCTGAAGCCTTGTGCAAAGGTTGTCGCCTAGATTGATTCTTGAGCCCACTAATATTGCGTTTAGCACCTTTAGGAGGGCGTCCGCGACGTACGGCCATGGTGGGGAACGATAAACGAGGGAGGAAGAATCAATCAGTTGATGTCCGGTTGACAGTTCCGGTTGACAGTTCTGGGAATCATAACTCTATGCCTTACCACTGCCTCGTTGGCACTTGCGCTGGCATCTCTGTGCGGCGACACATACTCTGCTTCCTGGTGCCACCTCTATGCTCTGGCAGTCGCTGGATCTCTGTCTCCTTGTGGCTTGCACATAGTCTTGATACTACATACATCTCAGGTATTCTAATCACTGGGGCGATACGCACTACTGCCAAAGACTTACTTGATATACACGCTCACAACACCCCCATAGAACTCCGCCTTAATCACAAGACGCCGACGTATGGGTACGATGCGCTACACCAGACGACATTACGACCCTCATTGTAATATACTTACAAGTCCGAGTTTTTGCCGGGAAACGCCACGGCCCACAACCCCAAGTTTCGGGTGGTGCTCAGAGATGTCCCGAGCATCGCCGATCTTGATCGGTAAAGTCTTGGCGCCCCCGATTTTACTCACGCTAGCTGCTTTCACGGTATGGGTCTCCGCGCACATAAAATACTGGAGACTTTCAACACGCTCAAGCTCACCGAACCCAATGCACGTACTATTGCTCATTATCACTCCGATTTGAATGGCAATGGCTACGGCCTTAGCCCCTACTCAGCTTGTATTCTTGGACTCGGCCCTTGGCCCCCTGCCACAAACCAACAGCCAGCGGTGGCAGGTATCAATGCCGCACTTGACAGTGGCATGTTCGATCACACTCGACACGAAGACCATCAGCTTCGTCTCCTCAGCATCCCACAATCCTCTGGGCCCTCAGCGTCCATTCCGAGTCACCCAACGCGTGGTAATTATCCACTTCTATTCGCAGTCAATGCCCTGCTCATTGTGCTACGGTAGCCATTTCCATGATAACTATCAGCCTGCCTGTGTACGGTCCGAAGCCTGCTAGTAATAAAGAGAAAGCTCCCACCGTGTCAACCACACTTGTTCTCCCTTCGGATATCCCTGCTATCGACTTTTTCTCGCGTGTTCATGCCCATATGAACGTTGATCCGGCAAACCGCTCGCCTAGGCTGGAAGGAGTCGGTAGAGCGTCGGAGGGACCCCTGTATCCATAGCCATCTAGACCTTGACAAGTGCGCCAAGTCTTTCTAGACCTCTTACACATGGCTCTAGACATTGCCCAGCACCTTCCATGTCCGCTCTAGGTGTGAACATGCTCCGGAACTACCCGGAAATCACTAGGTTCAACCACTAGATTCCTAATTAGGTAGATACCATCAAAATGACCTTGTGAGGTCACCTATAGTATATCCCTTAGTTCTGTAGCCATTTCTAAAGTCCTTCCAACATCCCATGTGTTTGATAATGGCCTAGCGTCCACAGAAATCCTCAAACTCACTGCACACAGTGTGCAGCTTGCAGGAGTATTCTATGACCAGTGTGGTAAAAGTGATGATGAAACTGGTGTTTTAAACGCATTAAGCAGCCTAGTACTCAGTCCTGGGAGTAGACTAGTACTCTATGTAGCCCTATTGACTAGTTTTATCAGTTGTTTCCAACTGAAAGGTCGCAAATTCGAATAATTCAGGTGTGTTCAATTTCACACCTTATCACCACAACATTCGTTTTGCGATCACGCCACTTCTTCCTTCCTGCCCTCACTTCGGAGTCCCCCGCATTGCTTGCCCTCAACACCGTCTCGTCCTTCACTCGTTATCTCCGACATAACTATCAACGCGCTCCATTAGCTCTCTAGCGCCATTGTCGAGGTCTGGAGCCGCTCTAGCCTGCCTTTCTCGTGCGTCGCGGCAAGCCTTGATCGAGAGCCAGCCTCAAAACGAAACCTCAAGTGGCTTGGAATAGACTCCCTTCCCCCAACCCCTGTTACTCAAGACTTCTGGAGTTTTCCATTGCATCGCCGTTGATAAGATGTCTCGACACCGTGAAGTGGCGAGATATGGTGTCTACTCAAGCTTCTCGAATCCTCCTCCAATGTCAAACAGATCAAGTTCTCGCTGGCAACCTTTTCTTCTCGGTGCTCGCATCACTCCGCGCTCGAACGACTCCAGTCAAGTCAAGCATCAAGTCCAAGAATTTTCCTCGCGGCGTCGTTTCAAAGTCAATCAAGTCATTTGATGCTACTGATTTGCTGCGGCTCCAATTCGCAAGAAGCCCTAGGTGTACCTCTGGCCTCAAACGACTACGGACAAATCCAAGAATTGTCCCTCGCGGCTTTCTCCAAGCGGACTCTATGGCGTTCAGACAATTCTGCATCCCATCCCTTTTCTCTCTGCGCACACGCTGTTGTAGTCCCACCCACTCCTCTGCCACTGGCCCTGCAGGCTCCTTACTCAACCTGCCCGGTGTGGATGGCGTGTCCAGATTGTATTATTTCAAATATATTTATTTTTCGCGCTATTTCTTTCGTGTGATTACAAGTCATCCTAAGGTCTGAAAAGGAACCTCCAGCCTGAGACATATGAAGCAGCCTGGCGCAAATTTACCAGGCTAATTACTCTTGCAAGGAAAATAGATCCTTTATAAATCCTGCTGCGGCCGTTCACATGAGAAGAACTTTGAGGTTGGATATTGTAAGTGACGGCATAAATAGTCCCCAAGGAAATTTGCGTTTCGGGAACCCGCCTGTCGGGCCCGATAGTTTAGAAGTGCTTCCCAGAGGCAAAGGTGAAAATTTTTGGAACACAATTTTACACCGTTAAAAGCGGATCTGGAATGCCCCGAGGCACGGGCTCGCGAAAGATTGAAGTAGAAGTACAAAGCAAAGAGATAGAAGTGGGATAGGGACACGCAAGGTCGTTTAGGACAGTGAAGACACATAGAACAAGGAATAACACAGCAAGTAGTGTAGAAATTAGGGGTGCATTCCTGCGTGACTCCCTGAGGACACAGATGCCAAGGCGAGAGGTTGGTTACAAACGGATGAGGTATGTACAAAATACTAGCTGCTTTTATACCTACAGAACCTGCTGATTCATCGTCGGGCGGCACATTAGCAATCCCGAGTGATTACTAACCCCGACTCCCACGGTTGACCGAGCTCCGATGCTCGCACAGCCACCCAATATTCCAACAAGTAGAGCAACAGTATGAGCTGGCACTGGAAAACCAACCAGAGGGCAGGGCTCCAGGGATATGCACCACACGGTTCAATTTCCTGTTTCGCCGCAAAAACTCGGCATGTACCGCCGATGTTCAATTGCCTCTGTTTGTATTGATATGCTGAGCCCTGCAAGGAACGAAGGGACGAAGGTACCAGAAAGGAATCTGAAGAGACAGTTCGCCGCGACATTTCGCTGGCTATCACGCCAGCTTTTGTTTAACCGTCTTTTCGGTGATGCAATACTGGAGATAAAAAAACGGCCATGACGATATGCGTGAAGTCAATGCCGAAGTCCCGCTCCACTACCCTTACCTTGATATGTTTGGGAAGCCCCGTGGCTACGAGGGCCCCAAAATTCCAAACGTTGATATCAATACCCTAGGCTGGATACGCTTCACTCCTGTCCCTTGAACCAAACAGTGAATGGTGAGAGAGAAGTCAACCGTCAACCATTCAACGTTTTTTCTAACACAGTCAGTAGTGTACTATTGTATGTAGACGTGCTGCCTGCAGTCTCATCATTGAGATGAAACCCTCCTGGCGCCATATGGAGCTAGTTTGGAGCGCCAGTAGGCAAAAGGGCATCTCCGCGAGTCAAAATCGAAACGTCCATCGCTTCGGCGACCTAAGATTCAGTGATGGCTGTCAAGTTCGGTATGACTTGTTTCGGCATTGGCCATAATTATGATCCGACTGCAGCCATGATATATAAACCACGTGATAAATTGCAGGTCCCTAGACCACCCTCTCCCTCTACCGCCACTCCATCTTTATCATGGTCCGGATATTACGGCCGAGAAAGGCCCATCAAACTCTTCAGGCAAAAGAGAAGGTAGACGATTTCCACTTGATTTACGAACGGCATTGACCTATTTTAGATGCACATTCGACCACCCTTAACGGCGCCATTTTCAACCAACCTTCAAATACGGAAATTTCTTGGAAGTCTACAGCGTCTCTCGCACGATATCAATGGGGGCGAACACATAACGATTTGGCCCCACCCTATTGGATTCGCCAATGGAACAAAACGTCTGAACTGGATCAAAGACTTTCCCTATCTTGCGGAATACTCATATTTTGTGGAGTGTTTTCGCGAGAATGCGCCTGGGCGGATGTGGGCAGGGCTCTTTGTCACAGCAATTGAAAGTTGGGTTGGTAAGAAAGTGCTAGCTGAATGGCATGTATGGGCGGCCATTATCATCAGTCCAGAAGCACCGGCCACGGGGAAGAAACTGCTCATATACGACTGCGACGGGGAAGACGTGGACTTTGGCCACTGTCGCGCCAGAGAGGCCCTCCCTCTCTCTGTACAGCACGATTTTTGGAGACAGAAAAAGATGCCGTTCGCGGAATTGTGGCGTTCCAGCTACGATCCGGAAACCTATGGCCAGAATCAGTGCATGAAGAACACCTGCGAATTTCTCATTCACACTGTCAGGTCACCTCCTCGCATTACTGTGGGACCAGATGGTGAGGAGGTCATTGATGGTTTTCGTCGGGTTCCTCGCCTATGACTTG